CCCCTCCCCCCTCGGGCTGCAGGCTGCAGGGGACCGAAGCCCCGCGCCGTCGCCCTCGCTCGTCACCGGGGCTGCGGTCAGGCGCCGGGCCCCACGGGCCACGACCTGCGCCTCCTGCGGAGAGAGGAGGGTGCGAGGGCGGCTCCGGGGGGCGGGGGGGACCCGGGGACCCGGGGACCCGCCCGCGGCGCTGCCAGCTGGGGCCGGGCTTCCACGTGGGGCCGGCCGCGTTCCCGGGGGCCTCCGCCTGACCCGGAGCTGCTCCGGCCGGTGTCCTGGGGCCGGTGTCCTGGGGCCGGTCACCCGGGCTCCCCGGGCGAGAGCGTCCACGGAGCCCGGGCCAGGCTCCGCTCTCTGCCGCCACCCGCTCGCTCACTGGGCCGCCGGGCCGGGTTCGGGCGCTCGGAGGGGGAAGAGGAAGAGAGTAGGTGATACTGTGGCGGCCGCAGTCACTCAGCCGACGTTCCTGAGGACCAGGGAGATGGTGGCTCACGGGCCCTCCCCGGGCACCCCTCCCCGGGCACCCCTCCCCGGGCACCCCCTCCCCGCTGCGGACGCCTCGGTTGTGCGGGGCCAGTGTAAGTGCACGGTCAGCGCACGACACCACTAGGAAATCGTGCCGCGATGAGCTCAGGTGACCGTGAACCCGCCTCTGGCAGGAACCAGCTGCGGGTGACTTCGGGTCCTGGGGCCACCGTGCCATCGGGACAAATTTCCTAATATCCCCAAACCCCTGTTTCGGTCCATGTAAAGCAGGGGTGCTAAGACGGTGAAACTGAGGTAATCTCACATTCTCACAGTACCGGGTGGCCAGCCACCAGCCCACGGGCCACACCGCCACGGCCCCCGCTGCCACGGCGTGCACTCCCGTGGGCAGGCCCCAACTCTGCGGGCTGCCTGCAGCCAGGCCCTACCCGCGTGGTGTGCGAGTGTTAGCTCAGTGTTCAGAGCCGGCTTAGGACGCAGGTCACTGCCCTCACGGCTCCACAGAGGGGGACACGGAGGAGCCGGGGTCTGAACCGGGAACCCACATCTGACCCACGCCATACAGTCTGAAGCAGCCGCTGCGCCCTCTTCCCTCAAATGTATGAAGCACCGAGTCCCAGGTGCTGTTCGGGCACCTCGACGGTGGTGAGTCACCGAGTTCTTACCATGACACTCGGGAGACTCTCGGGACCAGAGAGGGAGGAAGTCACAGGGGCGCGGAGGGGAGGCGAGGAGCGCGAGCCGCGCTGTTTGTGGTGTCGGTGCCCAATGCCCGCGCCTGGAGCCTCCCAGGGCGGGCAGGCCGGCCGGTGACCCCGCACGGAGTGCTCACACACGCGGGCGACGCCAACCAGAGGACTGGGGCTCCTGCACCTTCAAGGTCACAACGCCAAGGTCAGTGCTTAGCGGGCGAAGAATCCGGTCCGGGCGCCAATATCGGCCGCCCCGGGCGGTGGGTTTGGCGAAGCCCTTCGCTCCCACGGGTGGGGGGTGGGCGGCCTTGGCCAGAGCCCCAGGCGAGGCCGGGAGCAGGTGGGGCTGGAGATCCGGCCCTGGGGCCGTGGGCGGGGCGGTGGGCAGGGCCAGGCGGGAACAGAAGCTTCAGAACCGGCCCTGCCGTGTTTCTGCACAAATGTCACCAGGGCCTGGGAGGGGACTTGGAAAAAGGAAAACATCAGATGCGTTAAGGATGAAAACTGCCGATTCTCTTTCCCCTTCCCCCTGATTCCCACGGCGGCTGTCACGGACACTGGCTTCTGTCCATGGGCCTCCTGACCCGGCCGGGGTCCCCTTCCCAGCTCTGCGCAGGCTCAGGGCCTGGGGCTGCGGGGAGGGAGCCGAGACCCCGCGGGCCGGCCTGTGCTGCACCGTGTCCTCGGCTCCCAGGTGGGTGGGCGGCTT